CACTCACTATGGCATTTCCTATAGCCATAACTTCTTAAAGAATAACAGAAGTCAGACAGGTATGACTGTATTTATATATATATCTCCGATTATATCTCATAAACTACTTTCCCCATCAGAAAAAAAAAATATGTTCAATTATGGGACAAGGCTCAAACAAAATTTTCCAAATGCATTTTTGTACATAATGACTTGTCTGTAAACAATAAAAAAGAGAAGACCTCACGTGGTACATGTAAACAGTACAGCTTAAACTGCTGTTACCAGAACATTAACACATCACAAGCCCAGCTGTGCAACATTCAGTCACCACTCTGCCCTTCTCCAAAAGTAATCACTATCCTGACTTCTAAAACCATAGAGTAGTTTTTCCTATGTTTATCCTTCATTCTACATTTGAATTTTGATGGACATTTGAATTATCCTATTTTTTATTTACTATAAATATAGCTGATAAGAACATTATTATGCATTTTTGTATATATATTTATGCATTTCTGATAAGTATACTCTTAGTGCTGTATAGGATATTTAAATTTTTTTAAAAAAATAGATTTAATATATATTTTATAGTGATAGAGTCTGGGCTTTTGGTGTACCTGTCACCTGAGTAGTGTATACTGTATTCCATAGGTGATTTTTCATCCCTCACCTCCTCTCACCCTCCCCCCTTGTGAGTCTCCAACGTCCATTACACCACTCTGGGTGCCCTTGTGCAAGCCACAGTTCAGCTCCCCATAGGATATTTTTAGGTATAGTTTTAACATATTCAGCCAAACAGTACTTTAAAGTGATTACTCCTATCAGCAATAGATTACAGTCCCCAGTGTTCTTCCTACTAACCAACACCTGGTATCGCTAGTCTTTTCAATTTTAGCCATTCTGGTATAGTAATATCTCAACGTGGTTTTTATTTTCATTTCTCGGAAGACTAATGTTGGCTTTTTCACATATTTAGTAGCCACCTGGAGATCTCCTATGATGCAGCTGGTTCAAGTCTTTTGTCCATTTTGTATTATTAGCTCTGTTTACCTAACTAATCTGTAGGGGTTCTTCATAGAATCTACATTCAGGGTTCACAAATCTTTTCTGTAAAGGGCCAGACAGCAAATATTTTAGACTTTGTGAGCCATATGGTCTCTGTCACGAGTACTCAACTCCTGCACTGTGGCATGAAAGAGCCATGGTCAATACGTAAATGAATGAATATGGCTGGGTGCTAATAAAACTGTTTACAGTCAGTAACATTTGAAACTCAAAATTTTCACGCATCACAAAATATTATTCTTCTGATATTTTCAACCATTTAAAAATGTACAAACTATTTTTAGTTTATAAGCTTTACAAAGCCAATTAGCCAGGACGATGTGGCCCAAAAGCTACAGTCCGAAGCCCTGAGCTAGATAAAGACCTTTGTCAAATTATATAAGTTATGTAAGTCTTGGCAAGGGTTTATCAATGTTGTTATTCTTTACAAAGAACCAACTTTCGGTTTTGCTGACACTCTCTGTTTTGAATGTTTGGTTTTTATTTCATTGATTTTTTTGCTCTTGTCCTTTTTTCCTTTTCTTTCGTGTAAATTTGTTATTTGTCTTTTAGCTTTTTTGAGCTAAAAATGTTTAAATGTTAATGCTAATATCAGTGTTAATATCCAATCTTAAATATTAATATAAGTGATATTTAAATCACTGATTTTGAGCCTTCTTTTCTAATACATATACTTAGGCTATAAATTTCCCTCAAAGTACCCCACAAGTTTTGATAGGTCATATCTATATTAGAGCACATTATTTTCTAATTTTCATCATCATTTTTTACAACTCATGGATTATTCTAAAGTGACTCAATTTCCAAACACCAAGAAATCTTCAAGTTATTTTTTCTCCTCCCTGAGTTACTTTTTCGGTAATTTATTCCACAGTGGTCAAATCTGCAGAATTTCAACTTTTTGAAATTTAAAATATGTTCTATGGCCAGTATATGGTATATTTTGATAATTGTTTCATAGCATTTATAAAAAATAGGGTTTATTCATTTGTTTGGTATAGAATCATATAAATGTCAATTAGATCATGTTCAGTTCTTTATTATAACTCTTTATAGTTTTATTTTATTTATGTTTGTCTGTTTTGGTCTGCATATCCTATCAATTACTGAAGTATCTTAAAAATGTCTACTTCTTGTAGTTGTGTCGGATTTAGCTTTTCATATTTTGAGATTATGTTATGAGTTACATACATAGTTAGAATCTTTTTATTTTCCTAAGTTAAAAAACTTTTTAATTAAAAAACTTTTAATTTTTTAAATGGACAAATAAAAATTATATATAATTATGATATACAACATGTTTTGATATATGTATACATGGTAAAATGGCTAAATCAAGTTAATTAACATATCCATTACCTCACATGCTTATTTTTTTGTGGTGAGAACACTTAAAAGCTATTTTGTTTGCAATTTTCAAGTATACAATACATTGTTATTAACTATAGTCACCATATTGTACAATGTATCTCCTTAAATTACTCTTCCTAACTAAAGTTTTTAATTCTTTGACCAACATCTCCCCAATCCCTCCACCCCATCCTCTGTCCCCACCCCACGGTAAACATTCTGCTCTCTGCTTGAGTTCAACTTTCTAAATTTCACATATAAGTGACATCATACAATTATTTGTCTTCCTGGGCTAGGCTTATTTCACTTAGCATAATGTCCTCCAGGCTCATCCATGTTGTCGGAAATGACAGGATTTCCCTCTTTTTAAAGGCTGAAAGTATTCCATTGTGCATATATACTACATTTTCTTTATCCATTCATCTACTGATGGACATTAACGCTCATTCCATGTCTTGGCTACTGTGAATAATGCTACAACGAACATGGAAGATGCAGATATCTCTTTGACACACTGATTTCACTTCCTTTGAATACACACCCAGAAATGGAACTGCTGAGTCATATGGTAGTTTTACTTTTAATTTTTTTTTGAAGTAACTCAGACTTTTCCATAATGGCTTTACCAATTTACATTCCACCAGCAGTGCACCAGGGTTCCCTCTTCCTTCACTCTCACCAATATTGTTATTGTTTTTTTGATAACAAGCATCCTAACAGGCTAAGGTGATAAATCATTGTGGGTTTTTTTTTCAGCTTTCTAATCTCTATATTAACAATATACAAGTTGCCAAATTAGAACACCTGACACATGAGGTGACATAGTGTCCCAGCAAAGAGAAAGAGAAAGCCAATGATAGTTCTATGGTGATAAATGTACAATTTCCAAGATTTTGGCAAAATATATTATACAGATCTCCTTAATGTCTCTCTGGGGATCAAGGAGCCCAATAAAGAACACTTGGCAGTCAAGGGGTAAGGAAACATAAGAAATAGAGAATCTGGGTCAGGAGGACCCTCCCATGGCCTCTCCTTTAGCATTGTCCACAAATTATCTGCAAATTTTTCACATTGTGTTACCATGTATTTGAACGTTTCTCACTAAAACCATACTCTACCATCTACCGAGTTTCCATTCCAATATGATCTGTGGCGTTAGTTTACAACAAAGTTTCTACGGCATCAATGAGGCATTGTGACTGGTAAACAAGGAGATTAACTCAGTGTAACACAAATTATCTGGCTCCTAGGCATGGGTTCTGGAATAACAGAAGTAAAATTTTAACTTTAAGGAGTGAAGGAAAAAAAGTCTCAATCATTTCAGCTCTATTTTTAGAGAAATAAAAGGAGTGCGTGCACCTGGCCTCCCCAGAGCAGAATACCCCAGGTTTTGCATGATTCTGCCCCGAAAAGGTTCTACTTCCTCCACGTGCTCAGAGCTCCTCTTCCACCTGCTTTGCTGCTCAACATGCAGGAATCCTACTTCCTATTGATTTGTTTCTGTGCATTTTTAATATCCCTGAGACAAGCCTTCCACCACAAGATGAGCTGCCCGCCTGGCTATCTAGGTTATCTCTGGAGGTGAAATTTTTTGTTGTTTCTGTTAGTGCTTTAGTTACAAAGATGTGCAAGTTTGTATGTTATCCCTGATCTTATTTTTACTGTAAGCTCTGTTCTTTTATAAAATTTTTGCAGAATGCATTGTTTTTCAGGAATAATTTATCTTGTGTATAGTAGAAATCTGTACAAATACTTCGTGGATGCTTAATAAATGCCGATAGATTATTTATAATTAATTATCACAAGAATTCAAAAGTGATTCCAAGGAAAAACTGTATTGAGAATGAACCTAATTACAAGAATTGAGCAAGATCATTTGACTCTCTAGAGAACAGAATTCTAAACGTCATTTTAGTTTGCATGATACATTTATCTCTTGTTTTAGAGAATAGAAGCTAACTTTTCATTTTCGAGACTGATGAACAATCATCCACGAGTTTTGAAGTTGAGTAACAGGAAACTGTACTTGTTTTTTAAAACCACTTGGCAATTGTAAGAAGCTGGTGGTCACCAAATGCACGCCCATAAACTGGTCCTATTGGCAGCCTTGGTTTGAGAGTGCTACAGGGTACTCACTGCTGGTGATCCTGCCATATTTACTGCCTTGTGAAAATATCATCCTGGGCACTTCGTGTTCTGTTGTCTCTTTGATGAACTCCAAGTAGGAGTGCCTCACTCCAATGGGGTGGGAGTTAGCAAGACGGTCTACTCCAGAGTAAAAACATTTCAAAGTCATTAGCAATGAGCGTCTCCACTTTCTGGCTTTGATGAATATTTTCATAGTTTTCTTTGTAATAAGAAAAAATTTCCTGAGAGAATTCTTCCTCTACACATCATTGAACCCTTCTCGTCTAGTTGCAGCATACATGGCTTCAGTAGACACATCAATTTCACATCTGGTGACCATATTCTAGCCCATTAAATCTTGCCATTATTCGATTGCCACTTCTGATGTGCACAATACGTTGCAGAACAATGAATAATGTTGTGTGGGAAGGGATACATCAATTTTTGGTCCCTCAGAATCAAAAGAGGTCAGTGGCTTTGGACCAAAGAGATCGTACTTCACTTGATAATTCTGCGGTACCAAGGAGTTCCTGTTGGAATTCCTATACATAGTTTGCTCACATCTGTCAAACTGGGAAGCATGAATGGTTTAACAGGATCTTGTACTGTGGTAGAATCTTTGGGGTCATGTCCAGCCAGTATACCCAACACAATTGCTGCATCATCCACATATCTGGTTAAGATTCCTGGCACGTCCATTGAATTCACCAAAGGAATGAGACCATGACGAGAAACTAAGCCATAGCTTGGTTTGACACCAACAAGTCCACAATGGGCAGCAGGATTTCTGGTCGATCCTCCTGTATCTGATCCTAAAGCCGCAAAGCAAGTGAATGCTGATACAGCAGCTGCGCTCCCACCTGAGCTTCCTCCAGTTATTAGCCAATTTGAATCTTCCTTCTCACCATGTGGCTCCTGCTTCCTCCTCTTTTCTCTATATTGTTTTGAATAACTCCAGGGGTTTTTAACTGGTCCAAATACACCATCTGTGGTTCCAGAGCCCATAGCAAACTCATCTAAATTTGTCTTCCCCATTAGTAGAGCTCCCTGATCCAACAACTTCTAAACTACTGTAGCTTTATAAGGTGGTACATAACCTTTCAGCATATTTGATGCACATGTTGTCTCAATGCCAGACGTGCTAAAGTTGTCTTTTACTGCAATAGGAATTCCATCTAAATCCCCAAGGGACTGACTTCTCGGAGGGTCTGGCCCAGCATGGTCCTCGTGCTCAGCCTGCCACCACCAGAGCCAGGTGACAAGGAGAAAAACACTGAGGTCAACAGGCGCTCGCGGTATTATGTGAGCGCAGCCATCTTTGATCGTCACTGAACCCTTCCTCATTGTGGTTTTAATTTGCATTTCCCTGATGATTAGTGATATTGAATATTTTTTCATCTACTGGTTGGTCATTTGTACATCTTCAGAGAACTGTCTTTTCAGATCCTTTGCCCATTTCTTAATCAGGTCATTTGTTTTCTTGCTATTGAATTGTTCCTTATGTTTTGGATATTAAACCTTTATCAGATGTATGGTTTACAAATATTTTCTACCATTCCATAAGTTGGCTTTTCACTCTGTTCATTGTTTCCTGTGCTCTGTAGAAGTTTTTCAGTTTGCTGCAATCTGATTCATCTATTTCTGCTTTTGCTGCCTGTGCTTTTGGGTTCATATTCAAAAATCCTTGCCAAGACCAAGTCAAGAAACTTTTTCTCCACATTTTCTTCTAGTAATTATACATTTTCAGGTCTTATGTTTAAGTCTTTAATGCATTTTGAGTTTATTTTTGTATATGGTACGAGACAAGGGTCCAATTTCATTCTTCCACACATGGCTATCCAGTTTTCACAGCACTATTTATTGAGGAAACTATTCTTCCCCCCTTGTGTATTCTTGGCACCAAGACAAACAGGAGGAATCTACACACCTTTTTATAAGCCTCAGAAAGGACACATCATCACTTCTGCCAGATTCTACTGATTCAGATAGCTCCAAGCCAACCCAGATTCAAGGGCAAGGGACAGAAATCTCATCACTCTTTAGGAGGATAGTCAAAGAATTGGGTGGCTATGTTTTAAACTCCCCAACATTTTTAAATGCTCTTGCAGCATTTCCTGGATGTATCTCTTCTTATTTGAATATTTATTCCAAAAGTGTTTTTGCTGTGTGCCCTTTGTGTAGTAAACCTGAGGTCTTGTGTGGTAAGAATTTTTATTATGCCTCCCATTTTAGATGCATATAAATTATATGTAGATTCAATGTTCTTTTCCCTTACCACTTTAAAAGCATTATTCCATTGTCCTCTTGACATCAGATTTCTTGAATCAGCACTAGGTACAATCCAATTCTTATTCCTTTGAAGGTGATCTGCTCTTTGTCACTGTAAGCTTTTTGAATTTTTTTGTCTTAGATGTTATTATATGTTACTATAAATAGGTCTAAGGGTGGGTTTTTTCCTTCTCTCACCTATTTAGCAGTCTCTAGACCCTTTCAGTCTAAGGTTTTCTATAAATCTGATTCTGAGAAATTTATCTTAATTATTTATTCAACTATTTCCCCCTTCCTTTTTTTCTCTCCTCTAAGATTACTATTTATCTAAATAGAAGACTTTTCTACAAAGACCCACCGTACTTCTTGGATTTTACTCCATGTGTTTTCTCTATCATTTAATGTTATGTTCTCAGAGAATTTCTCAATGTCATCTTCCAATTCAAGTGTTTGCACATCAGCTGTATACCTGTGACTACCATCCAGACTGCTTTATTCTTTATTTTTACTATATTTTTTCACACTTAATATTTCTACTAGGCGCTATGTTTTTATGTTCTCTTGTTCTTGCATCATATGGATACGATCTTATCTTTTTAAATGTATTTACTATCCTTCTATTAAGTTCTTAGTCAATTTTTCCCCATAATTCTCTAGGAGATAGCATATGTAATTTACTTAGTTGCCTTTCTTCAAGAGTAATTGTACTATTCAGGTGACTAGTTTAGCTATAAACTGATGCTCTTCTGGGGTACCAGACACTCTGTCTGGTAATATGTATGGTGAAAAGGCTAAAGCCAGACCATAACTGTATCCAATCTGGTGAACTTAAGAGAAGGGGAGAATGAGCCACTGAGAAAAAAAGCCCCAGGGACCTCAGAACCACTACGGTTTACTCCAATCTGCTGGCATTCCCCATGCAGCAATTTGGACAGGATTTCACATTCAAACTCTCAGAGAGAAAGAGTCCTGGGAACAGTCTTCGTCCCCTGAAACCTACCAATCTGGGAGTTTGGAAAGGGTGTGGAAAGGAGGTGGAAAGGTGACCCCTAAGGGCAGCTAGTCAGGCCACATCTGTTTACATCAATGCCATCAAAGCCCTAGCAGACCTTTTGAAGGGACGCTGAGGCTTGAACCATTGCTACTCATTTCTGTGGTGAAGGGACAGGCAAAGACAATCTCAAGGGGACATCAGTGAGAAACAACAACAGAACTTAGCTGTCTTCTGACCTGTTGTCTCACTGCTACGTCTGGCAATCTGTAGTCCCAGGATGTCGCCAATATCCCCATATGTCATAACCCACTCACCCATCAACACATACAGGTTCAGGAGAGCCTCTACTGTCCCCTACTTCATCTCACTCATCTAGTTTCTTCAGAGTTGATTTTGGGTAAGAGAGTCAACACAACAGTTGGGACTAATTTGATTGGAAGTGGAAACCAGCCTAGAAACTATTTTTTTTTTTTAACAAAGCTGTAGAACTTTTGCTCAATTTTACCCTTCCTAATCCAGTTCAGAAATCTGAGGCAAACAAATCAATAAAGAGTTAATACTTCATAAGAGAATATCTTATCCCCCAAAAAAGTTACCCTGGGTCATCTACAGCTGAAAGAACAATGACAAGCTCTTCCTAACTCTTTTCATGTATATTCATATATTTCTAGCTTCATACATTTGAAAACACATTTTATTTTTTCTAATTTTTCATTAGCCCTAGATTTATAAAACACTCTGTGTAAACTTATGGATAACAATCTTTTAAAATCCCCCTCTATAGTTATCCCGCTCACCAAGATTACTGACCTCAAATTGCCATTAAGTGGCACAATTCCCCAGTTCTCTAAGACCATGACAAGCACTCCCAAACACACATGTACACAGATTAGCCTCAAGCTGATGTGAAACTATGTTAGCAATAGACAAGTTAGCAGATGTTATGCTATTTCAATAGCAGGCAAGAAATGAAAGAACCTAACCTAGGACCTCAGAAATCTTCCCCAAATAAGGTTAGGAAGGAAGAGCCCAGGAGTTTGAGTTGCCGTGAGCTATGATGACACCACGGCACTCTAGCCCAGATGACAGAGTGAGACTCTGTCTCAAAAAAAACAAAAAAATCTGTTTCTGAAAATTCTTTTTTTACTTTAAGGATTTTTACCTTTTCTCAGTTACATAAATATTTTCTTCCTTTCTATCATTTGCACTTAGCCTTTATTTATATGAGGTTTTTCTACATAACTTTTAAAAAATTACTTTTTGTATGTAGTCAAATTTGTTTGATTTTTGCTTATAACATGTTATTTTCTGCTTTTCTTAAGATAGCCTCTTCCATGAGAGATAATACAAACTCTATCCAATATATTCTTTTCACACTTAGACCTTTGGTCTGAAATAGAGATCCACCTTTCTTTTCTTCCAGGTGTAATTCTACTGTATCAATACATTTATTAAACAAAACACTTTTTCTCTCTGAACTTTTATAATATTTTCAAGTTCCATAATGACATGTAATAGCTGGATTTTATTCTTTTCTATTGTCTATTCTTGTACCAATATCATGTTGTTTTGATTAGAGTTCTGTGGTAATTTTTAATATCTAGTATCCTTCACTCTTCTTTTCTCAGTTTTCTATAATATATTTACTTAAAGAGTACTTTCTCCAGGTAGATGTTAAGATCCAAATGGGTACAAATTGAAAGACGTATGTATTATCTTGTGGCTAAAAAATACAGTTAATTCAGTTGATAAACAGAGTCTCAATTAGATTCCATACAATAAAAATAAAAGAGTAGAAAATACAGATGCTTCTTGACTTACAAAGGGGTTCATCCCAATAAACCCATCATAAACTGAAAATATGATAAGTCAAAAATACATTTAATACACCTAACCTACAAAGCATCATAGCCTAGCCTAGCCTACCTTAAACGTACTCAGAACACTGACATTAGTCTATAGTTGGACAAAATCATCTAATATAAAGCCTATTTTATAAGTGTTGGACATTTCATGTAATATATTGAATACTATACTGAAAGAGAAAAACAGATGATTGTATGGGTACTTGAAATACAGTTTCCAGTGAATGTGTATCACGTTTGCACCACTGTAAAGTTGAACAATAGTTACATCATTGTAAACTGGGGAACATGGTAAACACATGGACAAATGTCCTCATGAAGAAACATGGGGAAAAAAAATGAACAGCTGACAAGTATAACAGAAACTATGCATCTCATTTGAGGCTCTTAACAACCATCATGAGACAGGTAGAGGAAACTGAGGCACAGGGAGGAAAATGGAAGCATGTTTGGCAAGTATCTGACTAATGGAAAAAAGAAAAAGAAAATATATCTACTAAGGGAGGCACACAGACCAAATAAGATGGAGTTTGGTAACATTTTATTTGTCCAATCCTATTTACAAAAAATAAACTGATCATTCTACAATGCTATGCCCTATATCCAACCTTCCATCTAGCTAAGAGCACTGAGTTCAACTGACGTAATAGTTATGTGAACTCCATGACCTGTTCTTTTGATTTTCAGAGATAATGAATCCACTCATAAACAGCAATAGAAAATATAAGCATTCTATGCCTTCACAGCATTGAACCCCAAATAGTCTGCTCTCTAATTCCTCTGAAAAATACATCTGAGTCCTCTGATACTGCTGGGACCAGGAATTTAGCTATTGCTTGCTCCGAAAACCACAAAATGTACCAAGAGAAACGAATTTTTATATTAAATAAAACTGAGAGGTTGCTAATAACCCCAAATCACAGATCATAAAGTATTTTATGAAATAAAATACAATTTGAAACAAGTGAATAATAAATATCACAAGCTAATATATACCTCTATATATCCAAGTAGTGTTGGATTTTTCTGAAATTAATGGAAAAGAGCCTAACAATTTTTATTTGAAACAAAGATAAATGAGAGTGCAGACAAATCTCAGGAGAGATTGCAGAGTTCCTCTGAGGGCACATCTCCATATGGAGGAATAGCAGGGGAGGGGATGAAGAAAAGACTGTGTGTATGTGCTGTCTTTACTTCTTCTGACTTTTAAGTCAGATAGGGAAATGGGCAAGTATGGATGGAGCAAACAGAAGAATCATCCCTGCAATGATAATCAGCATTAGTTGAACGAAGAGAAATAAACATCAAAGTTACATTGAGAGCCACAATGCACTGCTTCCTGGGTAACCTATTCACTCAAAAGAATGGAATACCAATATTGAGAAGAGACATGGTTCTGGGTCAGACAACACAGATGTCTTTGTGAGAAAGCATCTTGAGAGAAGAAAAGTGAACTGAACCTTCCAGATGCCCCAGGTCACATCCTCCCCATCAGTACTATTATTACTAAAAATATTTCATAACAACAACATACTAACAATGAACTCTTACTAAATTTTAGTAACTATTCTGGGAGTTTTACAAATATTAGCTCTTTTAATCCTCAAAACAATTACAATGAGGTAATAAGCACTCTTATATCCATTTCACAGATGATA